TTTAAGATTTAAATATTTCCTTTTCCAACTCGGACCATAATATTTCACCTCTTGGAAAATAACTTTCTCATGATTATAGGCAACTTGTCTCTAGAAATGAGGCCTTACAAATCATTCAGAATAACATCTGTAACCACATTAGGACAGTGGATTGAATTCATTAGTAAAAATATAATATTCAGAATTACCTAGCACTGTCAAAAAGAGAGACTGTATTTCTCTGTGTCATATTTTGGAGAATGTCAGTAGAATAATAGCTCACTCTGTAAGATAATTTAGCTTTCTTTTTCTAAACGAGGGCCCATAAATGAAGATATTGATGTTAAGGTCAAGGCAGGAAGTCTTAAACTTGCACAGAAGAGTAATTCCTTAATACCATAGTTTATCATAGTATACTTGTCTTCCACCAAATATCATGGCAAATCTTAGCTTTCTTTCCCAGTCTTTGTGGTAGTGAGTGGTTAGGGCTCACTTTTAGGCCAAAAGATCTTTTGAAGGTCGGGGTTGACGACTGCCGTTGATGGTTGGGCATTGATGGCTCTGTTCCTCCCGCACTGTGACTTGGCCAGTGTCCCAGGTCTTGCTTGCCTGTGAAGGAGATGGACTTTTGGTGGGCTTTTCAGGACCTGCTCAAAGCTGTACAATGAACTCTCACGGAGTGGGGAGATGAGGAGGCAGGTTTGGGTTTTGGTTTTGTTTTCTTCAAGTTTGGATTCAGTCAGGTTACTCTGAAAAGATGAATCAACCAGTGGCAATGCAAAACTTGTCTTCTCCCCCCTCAACTCCCTACAAAAAAATGAGGGTATCGACTGAGAAACAGGCATGCGACTGGGAGCATGATAGAATGGCTTGAGACCAGAGCTAAAAATGATTGCACTACAAGTCTTCACAGATGCAGTCAATACTGACAGGGCTGCAAGTTTCTCTTGTTATATTTCTTGGTCTAACTGTTGATGTCAGCTGTTCTCTATTGAATTGCAAGTCATTGCCTCCCATGCCAGTTTAATAGAGCCTAACGATGGCATAACTTCATGGTAGCAAAAAAGAGAAAATGCTAATGGCTGAGTACATCGTGGAGAAAAAATTAGTTCACGTGATGGAGAACTTAACTACTTCAGGAGCATTAAAAATAAAAGCAATAATGTTCATGCAAAGGAAACTTGATGTGGAGATGTCATAGGCTGCTGAGATGCATACAAGGACTTAATGCTTACCTACTCTCAGCAGTTTAGACTCCTATGTTGCTTCAGTTTTATCATCCTGCTTTACTTCCGTTACCGTGTGCAAGGATGCAAATACTGTTCTGTAAAGCACCTTCCAGTGTAGCATCCTTAAGTAAAAAACCAAAGGAAGTATCTGCAGCATCAGCAGGGAAAGGAAAGAGACAGCAGGAGAGAGAGAAATGGCTAACAGCCAGCAAGAGCTAGCTTAGACCACTGAAACCTTATCTTCAGCGAAACAGGAATCCTTTCTGTCTGTCCAGCCACACATAAAAATGACATTAAAGAAGTTTTACAAGATGCTGTTTGTTACATTCAATACACACAGGCACACGTACATGTATATGTGCTCGCACACACACACTTTTTTAATATGTCATTGGTTTGAAAACTCTTCCACAAAGAACTCAGGAAATTGAGCGTCTCCATTTGACTGTGTCTTTAACATGTTTGTGAGTGTGGACATTAATTATCATAAAAAGGATAAATGCATGTTTTCTTCGTTCCATTAACCTCTTAATCTCAAATTCAGTAAAAAATGAGATTCTCATAACCAGTACAAATATTCAAATTTGGATCAGCTGCATTGATTTCATTTGGGAGGGGTGGTATTAATCCAGAAGTAGGGAAGCACAGTTGAAATCAGAATACATCCCAGTGTTTTGAGAAGAATGGTTGCACTTAGCTTTTCTGTGCTAGATATTTGTAATGGAGATTGCTTTCTGCGTCTATCGCATCCATATTAGTTCTTTGACTTGCTTGACAAGACAGATGGGAGAGACTTCATCATGGCATGATAGCTGTCTCTTTGAATCACTTATAGGTGTTAACAATGACCTTTCCTGCAAGGGCAAGATAAATTAGAGAGCCAAGAGATCTTTATAGCGATTTGAAATGTCCACCTACCAGGATGATCGTGGTGTGCGCGTGTCTGTGAATTTTAGGTGCTTTTATAGAACCTCGTGACTCCTAGGTTTGATGTGGGTGGTCGGGGAGGAGAGAGGGTTGTGAAGCACTAAAACTCCGGGACACTTTTTCTCTTTTTTTTTTTTTTTTTTCTTTTTCCTTACACATGTTAAGTAATTATATCTAGAGTAACCCACTAAGTTTGCAAACCGGCCATTTTAGAACATGAGCTGTTAGAACAGCTTTTGACAGCTGCTCAAAAAAGAGGTAGAAATTTATGCAAAAACATGAATTGAGAAACCCTGAACTCCCCACATGTTGATTTTGTCTCCCTCGGACAGACATTAATCTCTTCTTACTAATCTGTAAAGCGCAGCCCAGGGCAAAGCTGAGTTCTAAATATTCTTTAGCAGAAAACCTTCACAAAGTTTAGATTTAAATACATTGAAATATTGCTTGTGCTCTTAAGTTTTGGGAGATCGACTCTTCAGATATACTCTAAGGAAAATCACTTTTGCTTGCCGTGCATTTTTTTACAGTGTTTAAACTCTAGTGCTGTATCCTTTTTATACTATAAAAGCAGATATTTCACAAGCTTAAAGAAAAGCTTTAATGTTGTGACTCTTGTTCTAGCTAGATACCTGCAGGCTAGGCTAAAGATATGTGCATTGATGCAAAAACGTTATGAACATCCATCTAGCTGCCTTGGGCAGTGTTTAATGTGAAGCAAATCTTTGGTTTTAAAAGTCAAACAGCATCTGCCACTAAGAACTTACCTCAAAATTCTAGAAAAGCTAAAAATCGCATTTCTTTTTCGTTGAACTTTTCTTCCCGTATCCATTACGTATTGAGAAGGTAGAGTATTTTACTCAAAATCTTGATTTCATAAAGCTTCCTATCACAGAACACTTTACCAGGAAAACAAAAACCAAAAACCCTGTTGGTCTGTAATAAATGCCAATATGGATTCTCATATTCTGGTATAAGAACACCTTTTTCTAATTTAATTTAATCTTTTTTTGGAAATTCATCATTACCTGCAAAGGATAATAAAAAGTTTGAGAAATAACGAACACTGAAGTGAGGCTACAGTTCTTGAAATGGAGAACATACATCAGTGAAGATGATGAAGAAAATGTAGTGTCTGGCCTTTATCCTTTTTTCTTCACTACTCATAGAATAGAATAAGAATTAGGTACTTGTAAAAGCAAATCATAAAACAAAGTAACATTGATTACCTCTTCTGTCCTATAAAATTATTGATCTGTTTTTAACCTAATTGGCACTTGTGAAAATAAATGGAAAAAACAGTAGGCTATTTATGGGATTCAAGTATTTGTTCTCAGTAAGAGAGTCCTAGGCCTACTTGTTCGGGACTGTGTTGGCTGTCCTAACAAGCTAAAGATCTGTATGCTGTAGCATATTGTACTTGCTTTGCTCTCCTTCTCTTTCATCTCGTGTATCTAATTATTTCTTGTAATTCAGAGAAATAACAGTGCTAAAGATGCCTTAATGTATTGATATACAACAATTGAGTACACACTGCTAAAAAATAGTTTTTCAGTAAAGGTCTTATCTAACATAAGAATGAACAGCTAATTACAGGAGAGAGATAATAAAAGAGGTTTTCCAGTTAAACCTACCAGAGTTTGTGTGAAGCAAAGGAACGTTATTTCTCGTATATCCTGCCTAGGAGGCGAGCTGACATATTGATTAATACAATGTTTGCATTATACACAGAATTTTTAATCAGTTATACTTTTCTGTACTATAGAATTTACTATATAGAATCCAAAGACTGTCTGTTTCCTCAGTTTTGCTCCTCAGAGATTTTGTTGGTGAAAAAACTTACAGATGGGTGGGCCCCTAATTCACATGCATAAGTATTTGCAGGTTTGAGGAATGAATTAAATTTAGATCTAAACTTCCCACACTTTCTTTTAGGCAAAGCAACACTAAAGGTATAGCACATAAATTCAGTGACAGTATTTGTATTGGCTTCAACAAGCTTTGGCTCAATCTCCAAGCTGTATAGTTTGGATGTTGATCTTGATGCTTGAGGGTACATCAGGTGAAATTTTAATGCTATCAAAGGAGTTGTCCTGAAGCCTAAAGCTCTGTGAGAATCATCAGAATCAGGATAGTTAATTACAAATTACAAATCAGGAACACTGATAAAGGCTTACAGTTGTTTAAAAAAAGAAAACCAAAAAGCAGATAAAACTGCATGCTTTTCCTTGGTATTTGATATAATTTATTTCATAAATATTTTTAAAAAGGTAAATTTAAATTTTAAAAAAATCAAGATACAAGTGTTTACACACTTATGGCTCAACCTTTGGTTTTTTGGGGCTATCATATAATTCATTGCAAACATCTTTGTAAACTCCCATCCTGATAGGGCTGCTGAAGATGCTCTCCCGTGTTTGTGGCTACAATGCGATAGCTCCCGTGGATTTGAAGACAGATGATTCCACATCCATTTGCCAGTACCCAAAGAGGAAGATTGTGTTTTAAAACCTGTTTAAAACGCTATTGCAAAAATAGGCTTATCTAGCTCACTTGGATTTTAAAGCTGGATTATTTGTGTACTCCTTTGCGATAAGACCATCCCTCCAGTAGAAATTGTGTTGTGGAAGAACTGTGTGTTTATGTTATTTTGCATGCTGTATCAGTGTGCATATGTGAAAAAGGGACGGAGAAAAAGAGAAGTAGATTCTATTGCATCACAGTTCTTGCGTCTGTTCACAGCAGTTAGCCAGGTATGTTTTAGCATGTCTAAATCTACAGCTATTAGCAAGGTGATTTTATGTATTACCCCTCTGTGCTAATTTAATGCTGTTGTTTTCTCTGTCTGCTTTTGTAACAAAACAGAAGTACTCTGCTGTCTCTCTCTGCAACATATCTACAGAGGTCCTGAAAGTCATCAATGCCACTGAAGAACTGATAGCAGAATCCACTGGTCCCTGTGATTTCCCAGCTGACATTCAGGACAGAGAAAGAGGGACGTTCCCACTGGGGACGGACCCCGTCAGACTTGATGAGCAGCTCACCACACTGGAAGAAAATGTAAGAACATGAATCAGTATGTGAAAGTGTCACGTGTGTGAGTGAGTGTACCTATGTGTGTGTGCCAACTGGAAAGAGAAAGCACACAGGCAGCATCAGTGGATGTTCAGAATTAATTTTGGGTTATTAAACAAATACACAAACAGAACAAAAAATCCTATGTCAAAGGGGTACTCAGCTGTGTTGTTGGGGTTTTTTTTAATGTGTGCTTTAAAACATTTGGGGGAGGGGGCGAGTTGGACATGTTGGGTTTTACAACTAATTTTAGAATCCCTGCCTCAAAAGTTAACTTAGGCCCTCTGAACCTCTGTGGCTGCATGGCTGCGCCATGCCTTGCTGAAACCACACATCTCCAAGTCCCAGCACAGGCTCATTATTGTAAGGACAGGTAGGGGAAAGCATGTCCCCAGTCACACAGAGAAAAAGTGGAGGGGCTTTTCCTCCAGCCACGCTTCCCCAGCATACTGCGCTGAGCACCCAGGGAGCCAGAGCTGCCTGCTGCACTGTTAAAAAGAGCAGGCTGGAGAAGCTGAATTAAACAAACATTTCTGTTTGGTCACGTCTGAATCACCCATGCTTTTTCACGAGTACCTGTCATCTGCAAGGAAAAGTGTAATGCTGAATCATAGAGGGAAGTCACTACTCATGGGAAATTTTTATGCATCCACTTAATGGAGTTGGTACGCTTGTAACTTTTTATTTTCTCTTCTTCCCATATTTAACTGATTACATTTCAGTGATTTTCCCCTTCATTAGGACCTCTTAAAGATCTTGTAGGAATCTGGGCTGTCCCATTATAACATCATGATCAATTCAAGAAAATAGATCCTGGTTTTCTTTAGCCCTGGGAAATTTTCAGACAGAATCTCTTCTTGGGAGATAAAATCAGTTTCCTCCACAGAAACGCACTTCCACAACAGCCCCAGGCTAGGGACTGAGGGGGAGATAATCCATGGCAATAACAGCCAGTCCTGGCATTGGGCCTGTCCTACTCCAGAGCCCTCCCACCAGTCCCACAACTCCCCAGTCCCCCTCACCACACCTTTTCTGAGCTCAAATCTCCCAGCCCTGCTTCGGTTCGGAGGTTCCCAAGCTAGATCCTACCCCTCCTAACATCATCTGCTCCAAAACCTTTTCCATCTCAGAGCTTTCCCCCTGCCCACACCAACAGGATGCCCTCCAACCCACCCCAGAGCACCTTCACTCCTCCCCCACCAGCTCCCGATCATTACCTGACCTCCAAACCTCTCCTTCCCACCTCTGCTCAGCCTTCCCAGGCATCCTGCTGTGCCAGCTGAGGTGCTCCTGCTCCTCCTCGCTCCCACACACTGTCCTGGTTGCTGGCATCTCCTCCTCCATCATGGGGCACCACAGCCAGCTGAGCCTGCCCTGCCATGGAGCTCTCCACACGGCGGCTGTGCTCCCAGCTCCTCTCTGGGAGGGGAACTCAAAACAAACAAGCAAAATAGGCTTGGGAGTCCTCCCCAGTGGGGCTGGGAGGGCAAGACAGGAGGATGTGTCCAGGAGACGCTGGACTTGTGGCAGCTCAGATACGGCCCTGTGCAGAATGGTAAAGGCTTCCCATGGTAGTTGCTGCTGTAGTGCCCAGAGAAGCGTATAACTTGAGCTTGTGGCGAGCAAAGTGCCTTCCTCATGCCACCTACCGTGATATCCATTTCATTCTTACACGACAGACGCACCCCCACAACAACTTCTAGATGAGTTTGATTAATTTTTTTCAGAATAATAGAAGTAGGTAGATGGAGATTTTCTCCCCTGTGAAATACTGAAGCATCCTAGCTCCACACACGACAGAATGCATTTGTCAGGAGAGTGAATACAAAATGAAAATCCAAGTCCAGGCTGGACCACGTCTTTAGAAAAACTAAGAAATTCCTCAGGAGGACAGAGAACAATTTGGGGAAAGTTTCTCCCACATTTTTTCTGTGGAGAACTGTGTTGTAAACTATCCAAGGTGTGTTTTTTTCCCCAATTACACCCCGCCAATCTCTCCTGTCCTTGTAGAGCTTTGGCATCTGTGGTGCCGTGGCCCCTAGTCATTCATTCAGGCCGAGCATTTCTTACTGAGCAGAGACCGGACACTGAGGCAGAGCATTTGTTGCTGTGGCATTGCCCTCCTTGCAGCATATCCCCAGTGTAGCTACTCTGAATTCCCTGCATAATTCATAAGGTATCCAGCTCAGCCTTGCTGTGTCCCCACACTACATCTTTCTCTGCCTCACAGGATTTGAAGTAGATGGCAAAACTTCATGGTTTCAAGATTTCACCACCACGCTCCATAGCAGAGTTAAAGAGCCTTTAGAAATCCAGGAATCCATAATTTTTCCCAGTGCAGCTGGGGGCATATCTGCATGCAGCACATCCTCTTTGCAGCAGATTTTGGAAGAGGATCTGGGTATATATAGATACGCTGTTCATTTTTGCTCTCTGTAGCATTTTGGGGACTGTGCATGCATCAGTGGGGAGAATGTAGGGCCACCTGTACCAGCACAAGGTAAGTCAGTCTCCACGATCTGAATGTGAATGTATGCATAAGGGCATGATAGAATGGAGACCTGCAAGTACCCCATTGCTGTTTGGAAGCACAACAATTGCTCAGCTAAAGACAATATTCTTTAGAAAAATCTTTTTTTAGATCTAGCTGGAAAGTGTTCAATAAAATTAAAATTTAACAAATGTAGGGGCTGATTGAGTTACAAAAACATTGATGACCTTTCCTTCCCACATTTTTCCATCAGTCCTATTTTGTTTACGGGTTTTTTTCCCCTCTTGAAAAGTACAACTTATTGTGCAGAGGATTTTGGCACAGCATTTTTAAATGCATCTTTTCTTTAATTTTCTAAAGATGTTTCTGCTTATAATGTTCTTTTTTCTTCTTTCTCTGAGTTTTTAGACATGATAGGGAAATTTAAAAAAATCACCTTTTAATCTGAAGTGGCTGTGGTATGTCGCACCACAAAGATGTATCATTTAAATGAATGGAAAGAATAATTAAAACCCACAAAAGCAGGACATTTCTATTTAAATCAGCATCTTAACTTTATGGCCCACCTGTGTTTCCAAATACTTCAGCAAAGATGTTAAATGAGATCACTTATTTGTTCTAGGTTCATTTTTCAAAGATTTCATGCTTGCAGTTAGACTGTGGTCTTACAAGGTGCCGTTCATGCAAGATGTAGTGAATTTGTTTCTTAGCAAAGTCACATACATGAAAAAATGTATATACATTTATACGTTGAAACAACTGATACAAAGGAAAAAAAAAACCTGTTGCAAGCAATTAAGAAACAATAATAAAATAAAAATAATGAAAAGTAAACACTTATTAAATCTTAATCTAGTCATTCTCCACCACTTTTGATCCATAAACTCACAGCATGGCCAGAAATTATTTGAATACCTGTTATGTCAAAGGACTGCATGATCTAGGAATTGTGGGCAGATATGTTTTCCTGAGTGGAAAACAGGTATGAGCTGAAGGTATCCGCTCCAGGATCTGGTTCAGATCCTGTTTGCTTGCCCCTTGCACCATGAAGTCAGCCACAGAATATGTTTAATTCGTGCTAGTTTTGTAGCACCACAGTCTTTACTGCTATTAGAGTGAGTGAGGCTGCCAATGCGGAAAATCAGAATATGTATTTCATTTCCACTGTGCTGTTACCAGCCTCATGGAAACAGCCTCTTGGCTATCTAGTAAACAGGCAGAAGGTGCAGTATTTTCGCATGGGTCTGCACAATTTTAAGCACAGATGTCAAAAGCTAATGCTTGAAAATTACCCTTTTCTATAAACCAGAGACCTCCATCTGGCCATGTACCTTAGATTTCTTTGTGAAATAAAAGAAACACATGAAACACAGTATATCATAAATTATTGCTCCGAGGAGCTGAATGGGAAATGAAACCTTTACCTGAAGTTATCAGAGGTATCGTAGGTACATCAAAATATTAAAAGTTTTTTGTTTTTAGGGAAGATCTCTAAATGATACAGCCTGTTATTCTCTCTTATGTGGCCTAGTAAGTCTATTGACCCTCCACAGATTCACTCGAAAGGGCCAGGAGGCGGGAAGGTTTTGGCTGCTCTATGTTTGGGTGAGAGCAGGATGGGATGGAAAACTGTGTTGTACATGTAAGCGCAGTTACTCTATAAGAAGTTAATAACCACATGCTGTTGGACAGTTATTGTTACAGAGTTTTGATTGCCAGAAGGCATTAGGTGTGTTTCAATAAACACAGTTTTATATAAGGTGTGATCTGTTGGCTTCCCCTTGTAGACTTTGGGGTTTTTATTGTGCAATTGAATATCAAAAATAAAAAAGCAACCGTTTCAGTTTGGGGGTTTTTTGCTGGTGAATCTGGAACAAATCTGTTTTGGAATACCATTGTAGCACCTATGAAATTTGGAGCCACCTCACGCCTCCCTTCTCTTTGTGGATGTGTGTTTTCAGATTATTCCCCCATGACTTTCCTCTGCCAGCTAAGTCTCCCTGTAGGGGGTTAGCAATGAGGGAAGCTCAAAGGCATTGTGGAAGATGCAGTCTGCTCAAACCTCCGTGCCCACAAAACAGAAATCACTGATGCCTCTCCCTGCCTTGGCCCTGCAGGTGTACTTGACAGCCGGCACGGTGTACGGGCTGGAGGGACAGCTGACCAACCTGGAGGACGCCGCACGCAAGATCAACAGTGTTACCGCAGAATCTGAGCTGGCTGATCTGGAGGATCAGGTGGCCACAGCAGCCGCCCAGGTTCATCACGCGGAGCTTCAGGTGAGGACAGCGGCTCCTCCCTACCTGCAGGTTTCACACTGCCGTGCCTAGCGCTTACCTTTTGTCCCGCACACTTACTTTCAATATTCTTTGGTACCGCAGTGGACTGATGATCCAAGGATGCTGACTGCATCACAGGAGCTGAGCAAAGCTTAACTGACATGCGTAACTCAGCCCAGCCAGACGTACAGTATTTGTTTGTTTCTTCCCCTGGCTTATTTTCAGACATGGGAGTGCAACAGCCTGTTACTGCAATACTAATACTGAACCTGCTCCTTGCTTGCCCAGCAGCTCACAGAGTACGCTCTGTGTCACACGCATGGCAAATACAATCTTGGGCAGTTTATCTAATCAGCAGAATGTAAAGCACTTCCTAAAAGAAGCCAGTGTCAGTACCGTTCTACTGAAAAAGGCCAAGGGCAGCCAGCTGCTGAGCCAAGCACAGAGCCTAGCACTTGCAAGCCTGCCTTGGGATTTAGCCACACACGTCCCAGCAAAAAGGCAATAGCTCTTGTGGGCTGTGATCTAGTATCTCTCTAGTGGGCTCCAGAAAGTCTGGGGCTCAGAAGAGAACATCATGATCTGGTGCTAAAAGCTGAACGAGGTAACGCTGCCAGACCTCAAGGGGATAACACTGCCAACAACTCACTGCCAATGATTTCACTGACCAGTCTGTACCAAGCGAGGCACTCTGACCTGCCTGTGCCAGGCTTTAATGGGAAGTACCTGGTTATTTTACTCAGCAGTAGCATGCTCAATTTAGGACTGAGCAAAGATCTGAGAGTCTGACATCTCTGTGATGTCAGAAGTGCATTGCTGCACTAGATGGTGAACTGGCAGTGACATTTGGTTGACTTCAGTAAATATGTTAATGGAGGTGAGGTGAGGAGGAGAGCGGCCTAAGCTATGCAAGGAGGATGACAAAGAGGCCAACTGAAGGTCTTCTGCAGAGTGAACAGCTTCAGGTGTCATCATGAATTAGGAGTCAGGTTATATGTCTGACTTCTCTGACGCTTCTTTCCCTTTTGGCAACATTTGTTTCCGCTAGTCTCAACATCAGCCTACTTTCCTCCCAGATGTTTGCTTTCTTGGATTTTTGTTTTTCCTAGCAATTTGTTTTCCATTGAGTGTTTTTATATGGGGTGTACCTACATTTATGCATGTTTGTGTTTAACATACATATACACTTAAATTATAAATATTTAAGATCAAATGTTTAGATTTTGTAACAGAGGATGTACTTTGCGTGTGCATGAAATTAATTTTGAATTAGGAAATGTGTCCCACAAAGTCATTCTTTGAATGTAGCCTTTGAAAAACACAGCTTGAATGAACTTGGGATTATGCAGCTAAAGGTAACTGGGAGATGGCAGACGGGGGGTTTCTCTCCTCCTTTCTTTTTTCCTCAAAAGGAGAAAAATTCTTCCTTGGAGTCACACGGTAGGTTGGATTGTTCTTTTACTCCATCTTTACTAACAAATTAAGCCCCTTTTAATATCAGGACTAAAGAATGCAGGAAAGTGTCAGAATTGCTGAAGAAGTTAGCCATCCGTTTGTATTTTTTTATTAAAGAGAATTTGACTGGGGGAGGGATGTATTTTAGTAGTGGCATCCACAGTAATTTTAAAACTTCTTTTTCCCCCTCCCCATCTGTCTGTCTTTCTCTCTTATTTTCTTTGAAGATTTCAGATATTGAGAGCAGAATATCAGCTCTCACTGTTGCAGGCTTGAACGTGGCTCCATGTGTTCGCCTGACAAGGAAACGGGATCAAAAGCAAACAAACCAGGTGCCAGAACATTATGTAGTATTCAAAAATACATTGGGGAAATCTTGCCTCTTTTTCTGTAATGGAGTTGAGTAACGCATATGTGTTGTTTACAGATGCATACAATAGACACATCAAGACAGCAGAGGAGAAAACTTCCAGCTCCACCAATAAAAGGTGCACTTAAGTTGTTACATACATTATAGAGAGACAGTCTCTCTTTAGAAGGTTCAATATAATGTACAGTTCAGCAAAGTAGGGGAAAGATTAAGTTATAAAATAAACAGAGAAAGCCTAAATATGTCCACCCTCCTCATTTCCCATTGTACTTGCATCATATAAAATATGCATTTGTCACATTAAAAAGCATCACCACTTTCTCTTTCCGTGGAAGTTGTGACAGTGGCAAATTAATAGGAGCAGAAGCAGAAGGCTGGGAAAAGCAAATGAGAAACGCTGAATACTTGTCCTGCAGCAGGGACACTGCTACTCTGGCATGTCTGGGGTTAGGCTGTGAGGCCCAAGCAGTCGCAGTGTTTGATTACCAAAAGCCAGTTGCCATCCTCCACAACCAACCGTTGCTTTCTTAAAGCCTACATCTGCTGATTTCAGTCCATATGCTGTGGCTCAGCGATGTTCTTGGTATGTTAGGGTATGGCTGTGAATTGGCTTTATAAAATAAAGTGCTTTTTTCTTTCACGTTTTCTCCTTTTTTTTAACCCCACAGTGCATTATCTCTGACAATTCTAGGGCCTGCTTCACCTTGCATTACTCTTGTTTTACTCTTGTGTAATTCCACTGACTGACACGGCGTCAAATTTTAATAAATTTGGAGTATCACAGCCTGCTGTTTTTCATTTAAATTAAATCCAGCTTTTCTCATACATCTTAGGGGAAGTTTCATCTCTCTAGAAGCTATGACTCTTCAGGAGTATTGTTACATCTGCTTCAATCTGTTATGTGAAAAATCTCCTTTTGTATTTTTCCCAGGTGAAAAAATAGATGGTTCTCCAGTTACCACTGTCAGAACGTTTAACAGAAACTTCATGCTTCAAGGATCTCTAACTCAAAGAACTAAAGAGAGGAAAAGCACTGCCAAGGACTTAATGGTAAACTCATAACAAATGTTTTTAAAACCGCTGTTAAAAGCAGTAAATAGAGAGATAGCGATATCTCTGTAGGCAGCTATATTTCAGCATCTTCACAAAACTTCTCTTAGTAGTTTGAGGAAAGAGAATAGAGACCCTTGAGGCAGCTCTGAACAAATACGATCAGTGTCCTTGGAAGCTGTCTGACTATATACCCTAGTATAGCAGCTGTGCAGTCCTGAATGTCAGCCTGTGTGAACGTACTCTGGCTGTCAGGTCTCCAGGAATGTGCTACCCTTATTTTAAAAAGTAGTGGTCCCCTGCAATTCAGATTTCTGAACCAGATCCTCACAGAACCAGCTGCACACTGTAACTCAGCAGGCGAGACTCACCTTGAATCTCACCAAATCTCAAAATGTCAAAAATCTCAAATCTCAAAAAGAGAAATGTTCAAAGGTTACCTAAGTGGAGTTTAAGGGGTAGATAGGCTGTGCACTGGCTCTGCAGGGTTTGAACAAATAGGCTTCATCATACAGCTGTCAATCATTTCTTCCAGAGTAGCTGTAGAAGGATAAGGAAAAAAGGTGACTCTCCCAAAGCAGTCTGCCACTAGATATGTGGAAAATAGGCAGGGAGGTAAGAAGGGGAAAGACCTGGCTCCCTAGAAGTTTCAGCAAGCTTGATTTGTGTTTTGCTTATGTTTTTTTCTTTCCTGTCCCTCTCTGTTCTAGGAACCTGCTATAGGATCTGCTGTGATGTACTAAACTTACACTTCCCTACTGCCAATAACACACTGCCTAAGGCTGTACACTAGAGTGCCTTTACTTAACAGCCATTGTGTATGTCCAGCTGAAAATGGACCCTCAAGAACCCACAATGCCTCAGTTATAGGGCTTCGTTTGGATACCTCACTGAGAAAGCTGTCCAAGTCTTCAGCATTGTGGTCTGCTAAAGGAAACTCTGCCTTAAAGTTCTCACAAGACTCTAGAAAGGATGCTGAGTTTCAAAAGCAAGGCTCCACATTTTAAGATGCACTTTTTCTCCCCATTGATTGTACTAAAGTATGTCGTCTTTAAACTGCAGTATGTTTTTGTAGACTCAGTCAATCATAATTATAGGCCAATATTTCGTACAAAAAGAAAGAACAAAGCAGACCTGTGATCCATATTTGCTGGCCTCTTACTATTCACGTAGGCATCCATCTTGTCGAGCAATAAGAACCACTCTGTGCGGTGTATGCTGCTTTTCAGCTGCGTGGTGGGAGTGGAGAATCGGCATACCTAGCTCTGCTCCCAGTGAGTCAGTGGAAGTTTTGACAGGGTTTGTAGGAGGAGATGCGATGTGCAGACTTCTCTGTTCACTGAGGGTACGTTTGGCAGAGTCAATGTTCTAGCTCCAGAGCTAGGTATTTTGCTCTTGGCAGCAGGGGGAACACGGATGTCGTGTTGAACCGTGAATTGGTGGCAGCACATGTGGACCAGATGTCTGTTGAGTTACGATCCTGATGTCTGGAAATAGCTGAACACTGCTGTGAAACCCACGCCTTTGTATGTCTCATTCTTCTTGGTAGCATTGTCCACTTGGTGGTGTCCAACCACGCTGTAGTTCAGAATAAATTCTGACCAAATCTTCAAGAAAGTAAAAGCATTGTGGATAAGATCTCTGCTGACTGGCTGGTGGTTGTAGGGTGGCTGCAACCTGTAAGAGATTCCCTTCTGCAGTTTCCTGGCTTTTCTGAGGAGGGGGAAAATGTAGCCCAGACATCTCTTCCTTTACTAGTCTGTAGCCAACGTGGAGTAGCTGGGGCCTGTCACTGGTGCCATTGCACCCCACTACCGTTGGATTGGATTGTGAATAGTAAAATTTCTTCTTTCCTTTCTTGAGACCTTTGAAAGGTGAGCCAAACTGGAAGGCCCTTGAGCAGATGCCCAGGAGGGAAGGTGCTGCTTACAGGGTGTGCCTCTCACCCTTCTTAGGGAGGACCTTGCCAATTTGTGGTACTTTTTGCTCTGAAGAATACAAAGGAGGTAGTTAGAGGAGGTGATAAGCCACATCTTCCACACAAAGTGCAGAGCAGGTACCCAAAGGCAGACTGGGTTGATGTGAAACGTGCTGTGAAGGAGGGCATGGGCTGGCAAGTTGCCCCTCAGCATTAAGGAGTGGTGAGCTCTCCCGAGAGCAGTGGGTGCCAGGGGAGGGGAGAGCTGCTCCCTTCCCTGCGCTCCCAGCGACCACCCGCTAGCAGAGTGCTGCGCGTTACCTGCCGTGCGGCAGGAAAGCAGTCCCCTGGGACGCCAGGCCATGAAATGTCTGTGGTTGGGCAAATACGAGCAAAACTGGGCAAATTTCCTGGCTAGGCTGGATTTAGGGGGGCAGGTGGGGAAGGTACGGAATGGCTGGATGGGACGGTTGGAAAAACAGTGCCAGTTGCAAATCTGCCACCACATTTGACATAGACCTTGTCAGTAAACCGATGTCCAGCTGCATGTAAGGAATCCTCGGAATAAACACAACCATCTTCCCACCTAGATACATAAGCGTCGCTCCATCCCTTCAAGGAGTTTCCATCTGCCCAAGGTCTGACCCGATGTGTTTATTCTGTGTGAAATTATGCCTTCTTTTACTCTCACACAATACTAGTTCCCTGGAATTGGTTTGCACAGATGTGAGGGCAGAATTTGGCCCACTCTGTTTAATATA